AATCATGCGGAATTTTATTTTCTTCAGGAATTTGTTCAGATTTCTTAGATCTGAAATAGGCCTGAGGCCTCCTTTTGCCTCAGGAATGAGGAAGTAGCAGGAATAGAAGCCTTTTCCCTGAAGTACCTCTGGACTTTTTCTGGGACAAGTGATTGGTAAACAAAAGGTGGGGAATTGATGGAACTATGGAAACTGGTACATTGCCTTCGACCAACCCCATGAAAATGCCTATTTGGATGAGATGGCTGCACAGAATGAGCCCACTTATGCTGAAGAGGAGGGCATTGGAGGGTGCTTTCCATAATCCCTGCCCTTTTTCTTAGCGGATCTTGGGGTCAGGGAGCAAAAACTTGGTGACTGTATGGCTGCTGTGGATGAAACCACTTTCTTTTTGTGGCTGGGGTATAAATTCCCAGGGATTTGAGTTTCACCCTGGAATCCTTAAGGCTATGAAGCCTGTCATCCATTTTTTCCCCCAAAAAAGCAAGGGACCTTCAAAAGCGAGGTCTTGGATAGTCTGTTGGATGTCTAGGGGTAGCCCAAGTGACAGCAACCATGAATACCTTCTCATAGCATAGCTGATGCCATGATTCAAACAGTCAAGTCTGCACTATCCATACTGTCCTGGAGAGCAGACCTAGTGACCAGCTTATGCTCTTCCGCCATTACTGCAAACTCCTATCTACAGTTCTCTGGTAACTGGCCTTAAATTTTATAATGTTCTCACAGAGGGTGAAATCATAGTGACTCAGGAGTGGCTTTTGGTTTGCAATTCTGAGCTGTAGACTCTCTGAGGAATAAAATTTGCAACCAAACAGATCCAGTCTCTTTGAGTCTTTGCCTTTCGGTGTCGATGCTTGTTGTCCCTGTCTTTCCCACTCATTGGCAGCTGCCGCCACAAGAGAACTGGAGGTGGGGGAGATGAGAGTAAAAATGTTCATACACCTTAGAGAGCACAAAGTACCTCCTCTCAGCTTGCTTTTTTGTGGGGGGCAAGGAGGAGGGTGCCTGCCAAAGATCTTTGACTGGCTCCATGATGGCTTCATTAATTGGCAGAGCCACACTGACCGGGAGTTGCCGATACCAGAATGTCCACCAACTTGTGAGAGCTTTCACACACACCTTCTGCCTGAATGTTAAGTAGAGAGGCCATCCTTCTCAAAAGATTTTGATGAGCCCTGTGGTCCTCTCACAGTGGTGAGTCAACAGCCTCATCTGGTGACAAGGACAAGAATGCAACAGGCATCTGAGGTGGTGGTTGGTATCTGACTTGTGGTGGAGAAGCTGCCAGAGTGACTTCTGGCTGCTCAGTACTGGTCTTGGTACCAGGTACCAGGGAATGATGCTCTTGATGCTGATGTCTCCGGTGCGTTCTCTATGATAGCAAGCAGGACCATTGAGGGGAGGTCCTAGCTGGCATGGGGGAGGCCCCATGATGTCCAAAATGCCACTGGTATGCGCTGGAAACCCATCCTAGCCTGGACCATTGAACCTTAGAAGGATGCCAACGCTGAGGTTGCTTCATGGCCCATGCTCCCAAAGCTTTTGATGGGGGGGGTATGCTTCCTGTCCTGAATGGGATACAAGTGACCTCATCTCCAAGTCTGAAGAAGAGCCAGATACTTCTGACAATGAAGGGACAGATTCAGTTGGGATTGATGAGAGGTAGCCCGAGTCCAGGGATGGTGGTTGTGACGGTACCTCCCATAAGGTTTTATGGAAATATGCTTAGAATGTGTTTTATGCTACATATGGCATGTAACATAAAGGTTATGATCTACTGAATGTATTAATCCTATTTGGATGCATGTGTAATTTTTGTATTCGAAGTTATGAATGTTATGAAGGTTGGCTATGTACTGGCTTGATTTCTAAATAACCTTAGTAGAGCATTTGGTCAGTTCCTGGAGAAAGGAATGTTGAAATTAAGTACCTAATCAAGAAACACTTAAAGGACAATGGATCTTGGAATGCTTCAATCCACATAAGAAGTCTACTTGAGGACGTTCAAGGTAGCATGTAAACAATGGATGCTACCTGTAAAAACTGAGTCATGCATGGACATGTGACTTGTCAGGTGACTCCAAAACTCCATCTTGGAGCTGGACTTTGCATAGGAGTGAGGAGGGGGTCTCCACCCACAAGAGAAAATCTATTTAAACCCCTGGGAGACCCCTCCATTTTGTCTTCAACTGGCTAAAGAGGGAGCCTCTCCACCCCCCAGGATACTTGAAAGAAACTGGAACAAAGGACCGTAACTACAGGGGGAGTGAGTGATTGCTGGACCCAGGCTAAAAGGAGATTAGTCTGTAAAAGGGAGCATTCTGGAACTGGTGAGAATCTTATCTGTATTCAGTTTGATTAGACATAGATTTGCGTATTTAATTTAATTTTGCTTGGTGACTTATTTTGTTCTGTCTGTTACTACTTGGAACCACTTAAATCCTACTTTCTGTATTTAATAAAAACACTTTTTACTTATTAATTAACTCAGAGTATGTATTGATACCTGGGGAAGCAAACAACTGTGCATATCTCTCTATCAGTGTTACAGAGGGAGAGTGTTATATAAGCTTTATACAGGGAAAAACAAATTTATTTGGGTTTAGACCCCATTGGGAGTTGGGCATCTGAGTGTTAAAGACAGGAACACTTCTGTTAGCTGCTTTCAGGTAAACCTGCAGCTTTGGGGCAAGTAATTCAGACCCTGGGTCTGTGTTGGAGCAGACGGGAGTGTCTGGCTCAGCAAGACAGGGTGCTGGAGTCCTGAGCTGGCAAGGAAAGCAGGGGTAGAAGTAGTCTTGGCAAATCAGGTGGCAGCTCCCAAGAGGGTTTCTGTGATCTAACCCATCACAGTGGTATTGGGGAAATCATTGTAGGCTTTCCTCTTGACAGCATATGCTTTCACAGAGGCCTTCGATAGCAGTACCACAGGATCTAGATGCATTGAAGTGTGAGCTGCGGCCATTAATACCAGTGGCAGACCTTCCTCTGCTGGTGATACCACTACTGGGAGGCTGAACAGGTCCCTTGCGGCTCCGGGGTGCTTGGGAGCAGCACCGTCTCATGGCTTGGCAAAAGTCTTTCAGGGGATAGCCTCAACTAGGGTGACCAGATGTCCCAATTTTATAGGGACAGTCCCGATTTTTGGGTCTTTTTCTTATATAGCCTCCTAGTACCCCCCACTCCCTGTCCTGATTTTTCACACTTGCTGACTGGTCACCCTAGCCTCAACAGATCTGGCACAGGCTCTGGAGGCGGCAATCCCCACTTGGCAGGCGATCAGTGTTCCAGGAAGACCCTTGCCAGGATGGGTTCCTGGCCAAATCCAATGTCTTTATTAAGACCACAGTCTTATTTATTTAAGGCTTATTACAACAATCTGTAACCCACTAACCCCTCTTTTTGTCCTATACCTACAGGGGTATTAACAGGCCACTTCACCCTGAATGGTCCCTTAGATATGTGATAACTACTTATGCTAAACCAGGTGTAGGCAACCTATGGCACGCGTGTCAAAGGCGGCACACGAGCTGATTTTCAGTGGCACTCTCACTGCCCAGGTCCTGGTCACCAATCCGGGGGGCTCTTCATTTTAATTTAATTTTAAATGAAGCTTCTTAAACATTTTAAAAACCTTATTTACTTTACATATAACAATAGCTTAGTTATATATTATAGACTTATAGAAAGAGACCTTCTAAAAACATTAAAATGTATTACTGGCACGCGAAACCTTAAATTAGAGTGAATAAATGAAGACTCGGCACACCACTTCTGAAAGATTGCCGACCCCTGTGCTAAACTACCTGTTTGATCTTATATTTAGCTGTGACACTTTGAGTACCTTTCCCAGACCTGAGGAAGACCTCCGTGTAGCTCGAAAGCTTGTCTCTCTCACCCACAGAAGTTGGTCCAATAAAAGACTATTTTTGAACATTTTGGCCATACAGTAAGTTATTGATGTTGGAGGGCCTGATTTTACTCTCACTTTTACACCCCAATTTACACCATGGAACTCCATGGTGTTAGTAAATATTAATTTTTAATGATTTTGTACGATAAACGATTATAATTCTTTTATATGCTACCCAAAATCCTTTTTATGTTGTGTATTGATACGTTTAGTGTCCTACATCTATGAAACTAAAAAGTTCTTTGTCTTTCAATTGAAACTAATGGGTGATGGGAAAATGAATTCAATAATGGAATGTGTTTAATCTTTTAACCCTATTGTTTACTCTGATTTTAATGCAGTCCAGGTGTCCAGGGAAGAGACCCCTCAAACTAATGAAAAAGTGTCTGCACAAGTATGTTATAAGCAAAACTGAATGATTGATAAGGGATACTTCTGAATGCAGATGTGTTCTGTAATGGCTGAAATAATGACCCCATTGAAGGATGTTTTTAACTCATTAAGAACTGTCAGTTGTCATAGCAGTTAGTACTTATGACCAGATTAGAGATTCCTTGTTGCTCATCAGTCAGGTAAACTGTGGACCATAAAAGACATTCCATTAGTAATTAGGAAAACAGAATACATGGTAAAAATAAGGATGGGAAAGTATTTTCCCCTCCAAAATGGGGTTTGTCTCACACCCTATGAAAGGATAGAGGGCTGGGAAGTTACTTTGGGGAGTGCAGGTTAGATTGCCAGTATCCCACCAGTTACAGAGAAGAGAGACACAGAGGCCAGCTCTTTACCTTACACCAAAGGTAGTAATGTATCTATTCTTTCTGTATTCTGTATAGTGCTGTATTAATCTTTGATTTAATAATTACATTTGAGCCTGTTATTTGACAATCTCAAATCATTATTAAATTCAAACATGCAATAATGGACGTCAGTGCAGTTACTCCTGATTTACACTCCTTTGAATAGCTGCTGTTTGTAGGAGCTGTTCCCTGGACAGTACATATAATATCTCAGCACAGTAAAATCTATGTTGCTGTGACATAAAACATTTTTGTTGCCTGTGTTTTAGACATTTCTTAAATACCTGTAAGATTTCTTAATTTCTTCATGTGTTGCCCCCTTCTCCAGAGCCAGAATTTCATATAATGCTTCTCCTGATGTGGATAAAGCCCGTTGCCTTTGTTCAGCCATCTTATCTGTGCATTACCAAGACTACTGAGGGGGAAAAAAGAACAACTGGGATTGCAGATGTAAGGATAATATTTCTTATTGTTAATTTTAATACGGTTTAATTAGTTTGTTAAGTTACTTTCTGAACTATTTTACATGTAAGTAAAATTAGAAAAGCATATACCTTTCCAAAAAAGCCACAGACACTTCCTCTCCCCCAAAATACATTATTTTAAAGTGATTTTCAAAATGGCCACACACAAAAAATGCTTGGGTTAAGTGCCGAATGTCCCAAATAAAAGGCCTGATCCTGCTCTCAGTTAAATTAATAGCAAAATTCTCATTAACTTCATGCAGAATCAGGCCTGAACAGAGTAAAAGGACATTTCAGGATAATTGTTTAGTTTGTTTTCCCCTTCTCTTTCAAGTCCTACACATATAATTGAATCTTCCACTAAGATCATTGGCTTCTTTCAATGGGTTGTCAGCTTTATATCACCTAAGTCACCCCTTTTAGAGCAGATTTCTGCCCACTTTTTGCTTCCTGAGCAGCACAAAGTGACTGGACTAGAGGCCAAGGATTAAGCCCAATGGACTATATTATAGAATTAACCTTCTATACATGGCTGGTTCTAGTGTTTTTGCCACCCCAAGCAGACAAAAAAAAAAAAAAAAAAAAAAGCCGCAATCGCGATCAGCGGCAGCTCTACCGCCACTTCATTCTATGGCAGCAATTTGGCGGCTGGTCCTCCGCTCCCAGAGGGAGTAACGGCCCTGCCGCTGAATTGCCACGGAACGGCCGGACGTGCCACTCCCCTCCTCATTGGCTGCCTCAGGCACCTGCTTGCTACGCTGGTGCCTGGAGCCGGCCCTGCTTCTATAATAATCTTATGTGTGTGAAAAGCTGAAGTGAAGTAGGGTCTCACATTCAGATGTCATGGTTTTATCTTATAGTGCAATAATTCTAGCAGAATTCATAAGAAGTCTTTGATAAATTTGCTACAGGGCCCCTCAGTTGCATGGCATGAATGAAGGTTAAATGTAGACTAATCATTGGATACACTGCTGCGCAGATCAATCAGCCATAACCTCATTCCTCCTGCAGGTGGAATTGGCAGCCAAACTACCACCCACAGAGTGGCTCCACTACCGCTTTGCAGTGTATGAGGAGGAGTGCTCGTGATACCTGAAGAATTTCTTTATATGCTGTTGGCACCTATACTTGAATTTGGTGTTGAGGGAAAGATCTGCCTCTTTGACAACAGAACAGCCACAACAAAGCTCTGATCACAGCAGAATATAACCATAGGAAAAATCTACAGTGAGTTGTGGGCATGCTTTGGAGACAGACATTTCTGAGAACTAAAAGATTAGTGTGTCAAATAAAACTACTACTCTGCCATTTCTCTCTTCTCACTGCTGAGCTAGAAACATTATCCTGCCTTTCTTCATATATTATTTACTAGGCCACATTTTGGTTTAGATTCAGCTTTGTAACAAATTCAAACTCTTTATCTGTAGTCAGTTGTAAAATAAGAGCAAGCATGCCATTAAAAACAAACAAACAAACAAAAACACAAACAAAAAACCCAAACCATCATGTTGGTCAAAATGTTACACGAGATTACACACAAAAGTAAACTAACCTATGTAACTTTGGCAAAACCTATTTGATTTCTTTAAGGAAACATTATTTACATTTATGATTTTTTTTCATGACTTCTTATTCTAATAAATAAAAGCAAGGTTCAAGATCCTGTGAATTACTGAAATTCACGCATCCAGCTGAAATAAATGTCATAGTGCAAAAGTACCCATTAAATGAATTAAACATACTAAAAAAATTAATCATTAAGAATTATGTTATTTCAGGCCTAAAATATTAATTTACCAGCTGCATTACAGTTCTATTTGTTAAGAATTACATGGCTGTAACATGTTTAACATGACACTAGCATTGGGACCCATCCTGCTCACACTCGAGTCAATGGGAGAAGGATCTGGCACACTGACATTATCAAACCTCTCATAACCAGACAACAATATAAAGTCACTGAACTACACCACAATTTAAAAATTCCATTACCCAAAGCTGGATACATTGCACCAGAGCAGAGGCAAAAACCAAAGGTAAATTAAGATGGATCTTACTTTAAAGGACAGCAAACTAACATAATTTGTACTTTCTCACAAAGCACTATTTTTAATATTTTGTTATTGTCACTAAATTTTCAAGAAGTTGATCAGCTGTGCAAACTTTGAGACACTAACAAAGTCATCCTGATCATCCTTCAGTTGTAATCAATGGGAGTTTTGCCTACTTACTTTTAGTTATCCTATAAAAATATGATCAGAATAATAATAGATGATTATAAACAGTCAAATCGAGTTTTCTAGAGCAAGTTAAAGTTTCTTTGTTAATAAAGATAAAGGTAGGCACAGTTCCTATTTCAGTACCAGATCCTATACCCTATCGCTGAGATACATTAGAATCCTATTTTTAGTAAAGAAAGGAGAATATTGTTTACTTCCATGAAAGCTGACACAATATTTAAAAAGACGAGTGAAATATTGGTAAACAATTACATATCTCATTCTCATTTAAGATAATACGACTTTTAAATTACTACATTTTCAACTCATTTAGATTTATGTTAAGTATAACAAAAATAAGCTATTGTGGTTCTAATAACAGATCTGTTTCTAAAACTGCTGGAACAAAGTCTTATCTAGACAACTTGATCAACTCAGTGTCTTGACAGTTTTTGTTAGTGATCTGCTAACTCAGAAGGAAAGAAAGCAAGAACCAACAGAAGAAAGTGTTTCCGTACCTGAAGCACTGTCCCATTCAAGAAGGCTGCTGCTTTTCATCCCTCACATTCAGGGTTAAACAGGTCACTGGAGTCTGGTTACTATTTTTTTTGTTAGTCTAGTATCCAATTGGTTCTCCCTCTGGAAGACCTATGAAAGAATGAATAAAAAATTCATGAACATAAAGGTTGCTATTACGTGACAGCCTATGACACCAAAAATATACTACATTCATGTTTGATTATGTTTCAAATCCCTCGTTCTGCTGTGTCCAACTCTAATAGATGTATTGAGTTTGTTGGATTTTCTCCATCAGTGTTTTCAAGTTGTCTAGACACTGAACCCTCACTTTAAGACTCATTTTTCTAATGTTAGCGGTATAATTTCACCATATATTCACTTCCAAAACAACACTGGTGATGTGCTATAGGGGTGCTCCTCATTAAAACTCCATAACCACACAGAAAGGAGGCTTGGGGTGACTTCGCTGCCTCTGTTGGAGCTCACCTCTTGTTTGCCAGAGATACCTTTTCCCCTGGAGCACATTAAAAAAAGTCTGAAGAGCTATTAGTTTGTCTTTGGAATGGAGCAGATTGAACTAAATGTCAGGTACACAAATAAATAAATAAATTCCCAAAGGAGGGCATCCTTGAACTCCCTGAAAGGTCTTCACCCCTCGTATATATTATATAGACCGAACTATATGAAACATAGGTTAGCCTTGCAAATGGATTCATGGAGCCCCACTGAGGTCATAGGCCAGTGCAGACAAAAGGGCTGGTCTACACTGGGGGGGGGGGGAGTCGAATTACCTGGGGTCCAGACGGCACGGGATCGACGGCCACGGCTCCCCCGTCAACTGCGCTACCGCCGCTCGCTCTGGTGGAGTTCCGGAGTCGACGGTGAGCGTGTTCGGGGATCGATATATCACGTCTTAACGAGACGCGATATATCGATCCCGGATAAATCGATTGCTACCCGCCGATACGGCGGGTAGTGAAGACGTACACAAAGATCTATCTGCCTGGATCCAACTGCAGGAATAGAGCTATACTCTATATATTTTTCAAGCACAAAGTATAATATGGTTGGAATGATTTTTTTAAAAACTTTAACTACAGCAGATACTGCCACTCCTGTTATTTTGTATAAACACACAAAACTAGCTTGTCCATTCAGCTTGCTTGTTCTCAAATTTCAAATGATTTTATGTAAAGACAATTACTATAGAAAGAGAGAAAGAAAGAAAAAGAGTTTAACAAACTGGTTATCCATTGCGCTGGTCAGAATAACATACCTTATCACATAAATAAATTTTGCCAGAAATCGTTGAAATCCTGTGAGTTTCTTCATACATCCTGTTATCAAGAAAAATATTACCATTATTCTGGGTTAAAAGTTAAACATATTATTCTGTGTGTTTACAGCTCCCTCTAGTGTTAAAATCTTCCTTTGTAAACTTTAATAGTTGTTTCTTTTTAACACCATTTTTAGGTGTTTTTTGTTTTGTTTAGTTTTTGTGATGGATCTCCCACCAGAACAAACCTAGACCTTACAAGTCTAGGATTTTCCCACTGGAAATGTCGTATATCCCAATCACTGTCTCTATAATCTTTGGACCACTCAGCATTTCATAATCTATCAAAGCTCTTTAGCTCTTTAGATAAGATACACCACTTTGAAGTGTAAGACATGTAGTCTAATATCTTACTTATATTTCAAATTAGACATAATAGGAGACTCTCATTTGCATATTAACTTCTGATAAGTTTGAAATGTGGCCAAAACTGGCTTTGGGTAGCCTCTGACAAATGCAGTGTCATACAAGCAGAATCAGAGCAAATCAAGCTGAATCCTGTTCCAGCCTGGCCCTTCCATTTTCCCTACACTTTCCCTGGTTTGTAACAGACTAATAGGGTATGAGCCTGGACCTGGTAAGAGAGATAGAAAGTCTCATCATGTATGGCATCATGTATTGCATGCCCACTGCCTGGCTGAACTCTTACGCCATTCTCCATGGGCAAGGAGAGAAGAGAAAAAGGCCAGCCTTTACCTCAGTTTTCTCAGCATGCCTGATAGACATGTTTAATATCTTTATTAATGATCTGGAGGATGGTGTGGACTGCACTCTCAGCAAGTTTGCAGATGACACTAAACTAGGGGGCGTGGTAGATACACTACAGGGTAGGGATCGGATACA